ATCCTCTCCAGCACTTGTCATTTGTTGATTTGTTGATGATAGCCATTCTGACAGGTGTGAGATGGTACCTCATTGTAGTTTTGATTTGCATCTCTAGGATGATTAGTGACTTTGAGCATGTTTTCATATGTCTCTTGTCCTTCGGTATGTCCTCTTTCGAAAAGTGTCAATTTAGGTCCTTTGCCCATTTTTTGATTGGATTGTTTATCTTCCTTTTGTTAAGTTGTATAAGTTCCTGTAAATTTTGGAGATTAACCCCTTATCTGAAATAGCATTGGCAAATATGTTCTCCCATGCAGTGGGTTTTCTTGTTGTTTTGTTGATGGTTTTTTTTTTTTTTGCTGTGCAGAAGCTTTTTATTTTGATGTAGTCCCATTTGTTTATTTTCTTCTTAGCTTCCATTGCCCTAGGACAGTGATGGCGAACCTATGACACGCGTGTCAGAGGTGACACGCGAACTCATTTTTTTGGTTGATTTTTCTTTGTTAAATGGCATTTAAATATATAAAATAAATACCAAAAATATAAATCTTTGTTTTACTATGGTTGCAAATATCAAAAAATTTCTATATGTGACACAGCACCAGAGTTAAGTTAGGGCTTTTCAAAATGCTGACATGCCATGCTCAAAAGGTTCGCCCTCACTGCCCTAGGAGCTATATTGGTAAAGATATTGTTACTATAAATGTCTGATATTTTGCTGCCTATGAAGTCTTCTAAGATTTTTATGGTTTCCCATCTTATATTTAAGTCCTTTAGCCATTTTGAGTTTGTTTTTGTGTATTGTGTAAGTTGGTGATCTAGTTGCATTTTTTTTTGCATGTATCTGATCAAATTTCCCAGCACCATTTATTGAAGAGACTGTCTTGACTTCATTGTAGGCTCTTGCCTCCTTTATCAAATATTAAGTGAGCATAATGGCTTGGGTCAATTTCTGGGTTCTCTGTTCTGTTCCCTGGTCTATATGTCTATTCTTATTCCAGTACCAGGCAGTTTTGAGAACCGTGGCTTTGTAATATAGCTTGATACATGGTATTATAATCCCTCCAACTTTGTTCTTCTTTCTCAGGATTGCTGTGGCTATTCAGGGTCTTTTTTTTATTCCTGATGAATTTTTGGAATTGTTCTAGGTCTTTTAAATATTCCACTGGTATTTTAATGGGGATTGCATTGAATCTGTAGATTGCTTTGAGTAGTATGAGCATTTTAATAATGTTGATTCTACCGGTCCATGAACATGGTATGTCCTTCCATTTGTTTATGTCTTCCTCTATTCCTTTTTCCAATGTCCTGTAGTTTTCTGAGTATAGGTCTTTTACCTCCTTAGTTGAATTTATTCCTAGATATCTTAATTTTTTTGGTGCAATGGTAAGTTTATGTTATTTTAAAAGGTAGAAAGCCCTAAGCTAAAATCTGCTTTACATTAGTCTTTTATAAAGTCTAATAAAAAGAGAAAAAGATAAGATTAACAAAGAAGAATGAGTCACCATATGGTGTAATATAATTTAACGTAAACTAAATACATTTTTAAAATTACAAATAGAGGACATCAATATTAAAATATAGTCTTTCTGTTTTTTTCCTTTGTATTTCTACATGACTTTATCAATGCAGTACACTATTCTTTTGAAAAGTCTGGATTAAGAGAAAACAAATTCAAAGATCTTAATTGAGTTCATGATATTTTGAGTAAAAATTAATGAATTAATTATTATAGGCTATTACTGATGACTAGCAAAATATTTGGTGTGGGTAGCAACAGACCTCAAAATAATAGGTATCTCATAGAGCCTTTCCCTCTATAATTCTCATTCTTTAATATTTTTAATCAGTTAATGCTCTTGAGACAAGTGGCACTGTGTATAAAAAGGATTACACTTCTTGTAATCTTAAGAACTACAAAACAAGCAATTAGGCTTCTTATTGAAGGACAGAAACTTCTCAAAATAAAGAACAAGTCTGAAATCTCTTTTTATATTTAATTTTTAAACTTTTAAAAAGATAAATATATTCATTTTGTGGATAATCCTAAAAAATATGTTCTAAGTGAAGTATTACATAAGTTGGTGAGCACTGTTTTAAAAACGATGAGAAAAAAAATGAAACTAGATAAGTTTTTTTGTTATGTTAAAAAGCTTTGATTTTACATATTCTCAGTGTGTGTTGCTGGAGCCAATGTATATTTAGAAGAGAATGTAAGAGAAAAGTATGGGCTAAAGCAAAAAAACCCAAAATGATGGCATGGAGACCTTCAGAAACTGCTTCTATTCTGGGACTCACATTAAATGAAGAGAGGTAGGAATGAAATTGCTACTAAACACATTAAAGTTTAGAAAAATTTGTGGTTTTGTTTTAATTATAAGAACTTTTTAACGAAACTCTAAAAATTGATTTGTATTAAATTCACTGAAATAGTATGGCATGAAGTGAGGATTAATGTTTTACAAAGCTATTTTGATAGTTATACTGAAAGAATCAACTGTGCTATCTTAATAGGAAATCTTCAAACCTTTCATTTTGTAGGAACCAAGCTTTGAATAGATATCCTTCATAATATCCAACAGAATCAGAGAAATGCTCTTTATTAAATAAATATATTTTCTCTAGATAATTATAACAGCATATGAATTTATAACAGCATGGTCATTGAATATTGTGAATTATGGATAACTCTTGAACTTGGGAAATTATTGTTTCATATTTGTGAATCAGTCACATTGAATTATATAGAAATTTAACATTTCATATCACAAAGGAATCTCTTACCTCTTACCTATAAACTTCAAAGCAGTTACAGAAACCCTGAGACTATAAGGGGGCTTAGAAACAGTGATTATTTTACTTTTATCTAGCTAGAACTGAGTATAGTATTTGGAAGAAAAATAATGTTGCCTAATATTTTGTAACATTTATTTATTTAGAATCTTGTAATTTAAATTTAGGCTAGACAGTACCCAAATATGAACTTACTTCTGACTTTGCGCTCTGGCACTCCATATGACACATATCACTGACTGATGTTTTCCTATGATTTTCACTTTTAAAAATAGAATGACCTTGGATTTAAAAAACATCTCACTAGTGAGTATGACTTTTACTTATATGGCTGGAATATTCACATTTTTAGAAAAATGATTCATTGAAGAAAATGGAAAAGGAAAGAAAAGAGAAGTAAAAGGGAGAAGGAAAAAAATTAGTGGCAATTATTTATAATGTATGGGGGGTACTTTTCTTCAACTCTTCTGGGTTCTTCTGGCTGGTCTAATAATTAAATTGATATGAGACAGATTAATAGGAGGAAACCCAAATTTAATTTTGTATGTACAGGGTTCCATAGGAATGAGGCCCATAGGCAGTCTGGTAACTGATGCTTATATGCTGTCCTGTACTAAGAAGAACAGGATAGGGTTTTGGGACTTCAAAGGAAAGGAAGACCATTCATAGAAAGATGGGAAGATGAAATGTTCAGTAAACAAATGTTTGCTATGTCATGCAGAGACAAAGGGACACAGAGAGGAGTAGAGCAAACAGGTCTTGCTAAATTCCCCCTAGTCCACTGCACCTAGCTCATATTCTTTGCAGTTATCTTCTGGTAATAGCTTTCTTCCTAGCATAGGTCCTTTATCTGAATTCCTTTTAGGCAGTTAAGGGGGAGGTAAAAAGAAAAAGTTCCCAAGTCTTCTGTTCTTAAAAATAATTAGCCTAAAATAATCCTCATGCCAAAGAGACATAGTTTAGGGCAGTGAATTTTTCTCCCCTACAATAATCATTGGAAATACTTGTACATTGTTATGACAGCCAAACTGGAATATATAAAATGCAATAAAGTTAAAATACAATTTAGCATAATATTTTTATAGCAGATATTGTCATTCTTTAAAAAAAATTAGTGAAAGACTTTTGAGGTGATGAATGTAAGGGCATAGGCTGGTCTGCAAGAAGACAGAAAAACAAGAAAAAATAAAAATTCCCATAATTTTGAATTGTCATGTGCCGAACCAGGAAGAGAATAAATATTGAAAATAAGAAGAAGCTATGAAAGGCAACAGAGGAAGTAATGGACTAATATAACTACCAGCCATGTCTAGCTAACATTTATATTTTTAAAATAGCTAGTTTTCTAGAACCATCCTCTATCCCTGCAGATATTAAGCATGCTACTTAAACAAAATAAATATCATACATAAGGATACACATTATTATCTGCTTGGGTGTATATCAGAGGAAAGAAGCAACCAGGGTGAGATGAATTAAATTCAAGTCTCAGGAACAATGGAGGAAGCTAAGCCAAAAGTTATAAGGATTTAAGTCTTAAATTTTCAGAAGTTTGGTGAAAGTATTGAATTCCCACTGCTAATGGGCTAGAAATATTTAGGTCAAGTTTATATTAATTTTAAGAGGCAGAGATTCCTTAGCTGCAATCTGACTTACAGAATTACAAAGTCACCATAAAGTAGTAAACACAGAAAAAAAATGTTTGGCAAAGAAGTAGGGGTCTTATTTCTCTGTAAAATGATGAAGATGATGAAACTTTACTTGCTGCAAAGCAACGGGCTTTTCTGAAGATCTCTTGAGGTTCTGTGTAGCTTTAAGATTTATGACCCAAGGAAATAGTTTTATACTGATATAGTTTTGTATTTGTATAAATAAAAACATGAATGATTCTTTTAATTAAAATAAACAAAATAAAAATGGGTCACAGGTTGGTATAAAATAATTTAATGTAAATAAATAGATTGGGAAAAATTGCAAATACAGAAGATAATAGTTAAAATATTATAGATTTTTGTTATTTGTATTTACTTTTATATGACATTAACAATGTAATATGTTATCTTTTTGAAATGCCTGAATTTACAACCCTTTAGAAAAGAAAATAGAGTTCCATTTAGTTAACAAATTTTAAATAAAAAAATATGAGTGAGTTTTGATAGGTTGTTACTGCTGACTAGCAGGACAGAGAAGAGAGTTGGATATGGGAAGCAATATGTTTATGGAGCATCTTAAGCAAATAGTCATCTCATGCAGCCTTGTTCCCTTTAATTTTTATTTCTTCTTTTTCTTTTTTAATAGAAAACAGCTATGAGAAACCACACGACAGTGACAGCCTTTATTCTTCTTGGACTGACTGATGATCCACAATTACAGGTTGTCATTTTTCTTCTCCTTCTTATCACCTACATGTTGAGTGTCACCGGGAACCTAACCATCATCACTCTCACCCTCCTGGATCCACACCTAAAGACGCCCATGTATTTCTTCCTCCGAAATTTCTCATTTTTAGAAATCTCCTTCACAACTGTATGCATCCCCAAATTTCTTGTCAGTATGGCAACAGGTGATAAGTCCATTTCTTACAATAACTGTGCAGCACAGCTGTTTTTTACTATTCTCTTGGGTGCATCCGAGTTTTTTCTTCTGGCTGCTATGTCCTATGATCGCTACGTGGCCATCTGCAAACCCCTGCATTACACCACCATCATGAGTGGCAGAGCCTGCACCTTGTTGGTCTTTGCTTCATGGTTGGCCGGTTTCATAATAATTTTTCCACCACTCCTTGTAGGTCTCCAGCTAGACTTCTGTGCAGCCAACACTGTAGATCATTTCTTCTGTGATGTTTCTCCGATATTGCAGCTCTCTTGCACAAACACGGATATAATAGAATTAATGATGCTTCTCTCAGCCATTTTAACGCTCGTGGTTACACTAGTGTTAGTGATTCTCTCCTACACAAACATCATCAGGACTATTCTGAAGATACCTTCTCCTCAACAGAGGAAGAGAGCCTTTTCTACATGCTCTTCTCACATGGTAGTTGTGTCTATTTCCTATGGCAGTTGCATCTTCATGTATGTGAAACCCTCGGCAAAGGAGAGAGTGTCTTTAAATAAAGGGATAGCTCTGCTCAGCACTTCTGTTGCCCCCATGTTGAATCCCTTCATTTACACACTGAGAAACAAACAAGTGAAAGATGCTTTTAAGCACATGATCAAAAAGAATTTTTTTCAACGAAGTGAACCACTTTAGTGATATAACTGAGGTTATGAATAAAAAAAAGGAAGTGTGGGGTGTGTCACAGATCTCGTCAATGTTTTATTCAAAATATTATCTATCTTTTGAATTGTAATTCTCATTGTGGCTTACCTAATCTCCAAAGTCTGTCCTCCACTGCTAGACTTCTTCTTCCTCATGCTGAGAGCATATATAAAAGATATTTCTTGTTTGTAGACAAATTCATTTGTCTTTTGTGTGTGTTTGTGTCTCTAGATTACCTTGCAAAGTTCTCTCACAGAAAGACAAAGTGAGACTTAATTTTTTCTATGTTTCTTTTCACTGTTCTGTAATCCAGCGACCCAATTTGGCATATATTCTAATAGAATTTAATACATTTCCCAGATTTGATCAGCTAATTTGTTTTTTATTTGTGGATTGCAAATTTGAAATCTGATTTATTAGTGTGCTTAGTAGAACTGCAGAGCAAATTAATATAGTGGCATTTCTTATGTTACACATTTTGATAGTTTCAAATTTTTAACTAAGCTTTGAATTGTGTATTTTTAGAAACAGATAAGAGGGTCTAGAGAGGTCTAAGCATTACTGACCTTGCAGTTATTAGATAGAACTCATTGCTAACATTTAGCAAATGCTTACAATGAGAATGCACTAGCTCCCATCTTCAAAACTGTATGACAGGTATCATCATGCTTGTTTATTAATAAAAATCTAAGGCATATTTAGAGCCTAAGTAATTTGCTGATGACAGAAAAACAACACCTCACTGATGACAAAATACAGTCCTTGGTCGTCCATGCATCTTTTATATTTTGTTAACAAAATGAAGTGGAAATCCCTTCAATCCCCAATGCCATTTAGGAGGCAAATGAAATTAGATCTTTTAAGAAATTTCCAGTAAGTTAAGGAAATGACTTATATAAAAGTAGGCCTTATGAAATCTAGGAAGGTACTTTATTTTTCAAATTAAGTGATTTGAGCATTAAAAATTAGATATAATGACTGATCTTGTGCTAAACAACACATTTTTACCCTTTCCCAAATTGTTATACCTCAGTATGAGCAAAATAAAATATTTTTCTGACTAATATAAATTTCCTTGATAAATATTTATCTAGCACTTGTTTCTGTACAATGTAAACAGTGACTTTCTGAATATTTTGTGACTTGTAGGATTATCACTTTTTTGATTTATCAGAATGTTACATACATAAATTATCCTACACATATAAAAGGAATATATTACTTTGTTAGATGTTCAGGTTAGCAAGAAATTTAACATTAACTTTGTGAATATTAGTGAAATTTTAAAATTTATATATTTAACCTAGAACTCACCTCCACTCTGACAGCTATCCATGTGTTCTCACAATATAATATACAGATGATGTATTATAGAGTTGTACACATGAAACCTATGTAATTTTATTAACCAATGTCACGCCAATAAATTCAATTAAAAAGAAATAAAAAGATAAAGCTATATTTCTAAATAAATAATAAATGGGGCATTGAGAAGAGGTGGAAAGACTCAAATTTACATTTCAAATATGGACCATGTTTGTGTAAGTGGTTTCCATAAAACCTTAATAACATTTTAATAATATTTTATTAGATGATAAAAATTGACATATAAAAAAGGTACCCTTCAACTTCCCTATTTGACTTTCTTAAAAATTGAATTGAGGAGAACCAAGATGGCAGCATAGGTAAACACCTGTACTTTCTGCCTCCCACAACCATATCAAAATTACAACTAAAATACTTAAAAACTATCATCCAGAACCATGGGGAACCTGGCTGAGTAGAAGAACTACAACTAGAAAAATAAAGAAGAAAGATCATTGAGACTGGTAGGAGGTGTGAAGGTATGGAGGTGCAGAGGTGTGGAAGGGGCTGGCACCTGGGTGTGCTGCTTTTTAATCAGGAGGGAGATACAAGCTCTGGCGTGCTCTGAGTTCCAGTGCCAGGTGAGACTTCTGGGGACCCAGACACATACAGGAAGAAACTAGACTGTCTGGCATCGGGGCAAAAACACAGGGGCAACTTTCTTCCAAATGAAGGTGCATGTAGCAGCAGTCAGACCTCTCCGGTGCAGGACTGACTGGCAGCCATTGCTGTTTGCTCCACCCTGGAGACTCCCTGAGACCCCACCCCCACCCAATTTACAATCGTACCCAAGTTGTGGGCAGCGGCTTTTGCATATGAATGGCCTGTCCTTTCTCAGCCTAAAACCTGTCAAACTGCAGCTGGGTCAGGGAGCACCAAAGCTATCTAAAGGAGGCAAAGGCCAACACTGCAGCAGCCTGCCTTGCTTCACAGCTTGGCTTCATCTGGGCACTTCCAAACCCCATACAAAGAGGCAGAATCTGCAGATCTCTCTGTAGCTGCTGCTGGGTGGCCCCAGGCAGTGGCTGTCTTTGCACCTCTTTGGAGATCCAAGAGCCGGTATACCCAGTGGTCAGCGTGAGACCATCCAGTTTATAACTCTTCAGATCCATAAGAGACACACTCAAGGGACAGACTCAGTGAGCACCAAAGCTCTACTGAAGCAAGTGTTGCCCCATAAGGGTGTCTCCTGCACAGCAGCTCTTCCACTGTAGACACAGCTGATCCTCACAGCCAATTGACCTGGAGGTAAACAAACACAGGGAAGCAGCCAAAATGCAGAGACAAAGAAATGTGTCACAAATGAAAGAAATGGAAGAAAGCAAACTACTGGATATAGAGTCAAAACCACAGTTATAAGGTTACTCAAGAATCTTCTAGAAACATCTGAGAAACTTAGTGAGACCTTCGAGGAACTTGTGAGACCTTCAAGGATCTTAGTGAGAATGCCAAAAAAAAAAAAAGAAGGAAAAGGACCAGTCAGTAATTAAGCATACACTGACGGAAATAAAGAATAATACACAGAGATTCAACAGTAGAGGATCCCAAGAATCAAGTCAAAGAGTTGAAATATGAGGAAGCAGAAAACACCCAACTGGAAGAGCAAAAAGAAAAAAGAATGAAAAAAATATGAAGACAGTGTAAGGAGCCTCTGGGACAACTTCAAGCATACCAACATCCAAATTATGGTGGTGCCAGAAGAAGAGAGAGAGCAAGATATTGAAAATCTATTTGAAGAAATAATGACAGAAAACTTCCCCTATCTGGTGAAAGAAATAGACTTACAAGCCTAGGAATGCAGAGAACTCCAAACAAGAGGATTCCAAAGAGGACCACACCAAGGCACATCATAATTAAAATGCAAAAGACAAAGAGAGAATCTTAAAAGCAGCAAGAGAAAAACAATTAGTTGCCTACAAGGGAGTACCCATTAGACTATCAGCTGATTTCTCAACAGAAACTATGCAGGCCAGAAGGGAGTGGCAAGAAATATTCAAAGTGATGAATACCAAGAACCTACAACCAAGATTATTCTACCCAGCAAAGCTATCATGTAGAATTGAAGGTCAGATAAAGAGCTTCACAGACAAGAAAAGCTAAAGGAGTTCATCACTACCAAACCAGTATTATATGAAATGCTGAAGGGTATTCTTTAAGAAGAGGAAGAAGAAGAAAAAGGTTAAGATAAAAAATTATGAAAAACAAAGTGACAACAAATACATATCTATCAACAAGTGAATCTAAAAGTCAAATGAATAAAAAATCTGATGAACAGAATAAACTGGTGAATGTAATAGAATAAGGGGCATAGAAATGGAGTGGACTGACAATTCTTGGGGGGAAGGAGATATGGGGGGTGCAGGAAGAGATGGGAGAAAGATCTTATATGCATGTATGCAGTACCTATAGACGCGGACAGTGGGGTGGTGAGGGCATGGGGTGGGGAGGGAACCGGGTGTAGGGGAGCTATGGGGGGAAAAGAGAGACATCTGGAATAATCTGAACAATAAAGTTTTTTTAAAAGAAAGAAAAAAGAATATACATACAAAAAAATTGAATTTATTGGTTCACAAAACCATACAGGTTTCAAGTGTACAACCCAACAAAATATCATCTGCATTATGCACCCATTGCCTCTAGCAAAGTGTCTTTTTGTCCCCATTCCAGCCCACTTTGCCAACTCCCCTTACCCCTCCCCCTTTCCCATTTTTACAGATCAATTTCTTCTGAAGACATCATATATTAAGTTTATATGCACAAAATTTCCTACCTTATGGATAACAACTACATTCCAGAAAAGCAGTTGCAAAATGTTTGACATCTGATATATGCCAGAATTTCTCAGATTTCATGTGCACACTCTTGCCTAAGTCTCAGGTTGTCGACAAATGCAATATGTGAAATATTTATTCTACATTTCTAGGTTATTTTGCTTTTTGACCATTCATTATATGTGAATGTAAAGTCTATTTAGTTCTCGTTACAGTCTGTTACATAGATAAATACATAAGTAATTTAATATAGATAAAAGACTATAATATCTTCCCTTTTCATTTATATCCAAAATAATTACGAATATCTTTTGTAAAATTCATAATTATATTTATTAGGTTTAACTACTTACACTGCACAGGCCCTTTTTCATCTTTCATTAGTAGGCTGTATATAAATAAATAATAGAAAATGCAAAAAAGGAAACCCCAGGCTTTAGGTAGAATGAGAAATAATTAGAAGTAATTTTCTACTTAGTTTGCAATAAATCAGAAGTTTGTGAATAAATTTTTACTTTTGTTAATAGCAAGGATAAGAATGTATTATATATTGTGTTGGACTTTAAAAAAATATTAAAATCCCCTTTGTGCATCTATTTCTGCCATCTCTGATGTTCCTTTCCCCCCTGGAACTTAAAGATAACAAAATTGTTAACAGTTGTGTTTCACTGATATATATTGAATAATTGTTAAGAAAAATTAGACTGAAGGCACATCCATTGTCTCTTAAATATCCTCTTGTCTTTGATCTCTGACATCCTCCACATTGCTGTTGGAACACTTCCTAAGACACAAATTGCTCATGGCACTTTCCTTAAGAAAATTTTAACATTATTTTTATTGTTGACACATTTACAGATGTTTCTATTTCCCCCCATTTCTGCCCACTTCCACCCAGCTCACCCCCACCC